ACCGGCCCGAGCGGGACTCCCCGCGCGCGGCCCCCGCGGCTCCGCCCTCCCGCGCCCGCACAAAGCCGCGCGGGCGGGCGGGGAGCTCCGCGGCGGGGGGCGGCGGAGGGTCCCGCAGAGAGGAGCCCCCGCGGGCGGGGGGGCGAGCGCGCGCCTCCGTTCGAGCCGCCGGGGAGCCGCCGGTGCCGCCGGGACCCCCCGCCCCGCTCAGCCGGCGCGCATCCCCCAGACCCGGAAAAACGCGAGCGCGGGCGCTTTAACCCGAGAATCAGCGAGAGGGGCGAGGGGCGGGGCTGAGGGGCGGGCGGGGCCGGCGCGAGCTCCGCCCCCCTGGGCGGGCGGGGGCGGGGCCGGCGGGCGGTGCGGAGCGAAGGCTCGCGAGGCTCGGGAGGGGCCCGGCGCGTGCGCGCTGAGGCGGCTCTGCCCCCGCGCTCTGTGAGGGCTGGCGGGGCCTTGAGTTTCTGCTGAAAGTAGCTTTTGTGCCGCCTCTGCGCCCCAAATACAGCATTTTCTGCATTCACCTACACTCGAAATAAAGCTTTTTCTGCATTAATTGCGTGTAGTGCACGTCAGTTGGGATGCGCTGCCCCAGCCAGTGTCCGTGGGCAGGGCTCGCTTCGCTGTCATGGCACCGCTGCCCCCGTGGTTTCCCTGCCTTCCCACCTTTTCCTCGCCCTGCTGTTCGCAGGACATTGGCCTCCGTGATTCCTGAGCTGCTCCAAGCCTTTGGCTTGGGGAGTGACCCCATCCCCGCGCTGCCCACTGAGGCCCCGGGCATGGGGATGGAAGGACCGGCCTGCGAATTGGGAGCTCTTTATATTAAATATTAAAAAGCTGCTGGCACAGCTCGGGAGCCCTGTAGGGATTTACAAAGTTCTCCCAAGCCCCGCGTTCCCAGCACCAACAGCCCCTCGGGGACACCAGGAAGCCGTCGTGTATCAAACACGCCTCGGAAGATTTCCTTCCTACCCGAAGTCCAATTCAGTAAATTTAGGAGATCAAAGCTATGCAGGCACACAACTTGTGTTTGTCCTTTTTTTTTTCCTCTTTCCTTCCTAACAAACAAGAGTGTTTTTGTTTCTCCCCTTTCTCCAGCCACCCCTTCCCATTTTCTTTACCACTTGCCCTTTATGGCACAATCATCTTTGTTGTGCTCAAGGACTTTATTGTCCATTCCAAGTTGTTTTATAATATTTCTAGTGTTTTCTTCAAAGAAAAAGCTGAGGAAATATGACATTTCCTCTGCTGTAGACTGTGCTGGGGCTGTGCCTGGTACCATTGCAGATACAACAGCGGGATGGACAGCCTGGATCTTAAAAGCAACTACCCTTAACATCACACAGTCATTACCCTGCAACCACGACAGAGAGAACATAAGATCTCTCAAAAATGAGTTAGTTTCAGTCCCATAAAGTCTAGCAAAGCTGATTTTTTTTCTTTTTTTTTCCTTCATTTTGAACTTCCGTAGTAAAAGTAGCATTTCCAAATACCATGTCTATTATCGTTCCAAAGGTCAGAAGTTTGTACTAGTTATTTGGCAGAACACGTTATCCTTTTTCAACTTTAGTACATAAAATATTATTTCCACTAGTGTGGGAATCTTCAGAGATTCTCTACCAGGAAACCAAATGGAAAAGATGGAGATAAAAAGTTCTCCTGGATGACTGAGGAAAAGCAAGAATAAAAGAACTGAAGCATGAATCCTTCTTTATTACGATCCTTTTTTTTTCTTATTTTTCCTTCCTTTTTTTTTTTTTTTAACCAGAGATGCAACAGCAAATCAAGTAATTTTTCTTTATCAGCTCAGTTTATACTTAAAGATAATGTAAAAGACTAGTCAATACTCCCCAGGTGGAGGTGGCTGGAAAAAAATTTATTAAAGACTAGGAAAACACGTCAGATTTTGCTGAACTCTGTGCTGTCACAGTTCTAATGGATCTGTAAAAATTTAAGCCCTATTCTTGGTTTTTAGAAGGGAACTCATTCTACCACCTATTCCAGCTGCTTAGCATTCCTGCAATGACCATAATACTGAGGTGGACACACAATATGGGAATAAAGTTAATAGCCTAAAAAGTCCTTTTACTTTTGCACACAAATTCTCCTCTCCTACAGGCAAGGAGCAGTAGGGGAGCCAGAGCTATTCCACAGGAACCAAAGCTGCCAGTCCAATTTAATTGCTTGGCAAAACTGACCCGTGAAACAAGACTTTCCTCTCTCCAAAAATACCCGAATTTGGGTAGGTAATGCCTCTAATAGCTGCAATTATTCCAGGGGTTATTTTAGCTGTCGGGTTTATTTTCCCAAATATCTGGAGAACAATGGAAACGAGTGTCATGATCCCAAGTGCTGACTGGCGTTACAGCCAAGGTCTCCCGGTGGTAAAGCCGACGTAGTTAAACACAATTAAGAGGCTTTCACAAGTGAGTAATTTTAGGGCTGGGATTGAAGGATGTGGCCAGGCAGGATGGTGATTGTCCATGCAGAGGGGAAAATTTGCTTCCTTTTTGTGTGGATTGTATCACTGTGCCCAAATAAAGCGCCGTTACTTATCACAGAGTTTTTTATTGAAAACCAGCAGTATCTGTAGGCTTACATATAAGAGTCAAAGGTGCTTTGCTATTAATACAGATGAGTTTCAGTCTCAGGAGATTGTTTCTGCTTCAAACATCCGTGAATTTGGGAAGACCAGCTGAGTTATGGAGTACTTCTCCTCCTCCCAGTATGTTCCCTCAATTGTTCTGGTTCACTGACACTCCCAAAGATGCCTTTTCATCTCACGCCTTGTACCACCGTGTGCCCATCCCAGATTCCTCAGGGTAAAACTCAACTTCCTCACCTCTCCCACCGGGAAAGATTCATAATCAACATGCACTGAAATACTTTTAACTTGTATTTTTATGTTTCTATGTGTTTCTTGTCCTGTGAGTTTTATTACAGCCTGGCAATTTCCTTCCTCTTGTTCTCCAATCTGGCTGTTAGGCTATTGGTCTCTTAGCTTTGGAAAAAAAAATTCCCTTTGGAGATTCATGCATTTCATTGGCAACAACTACCAGCTAAGTATGTGGTTAACACACCGCAAGGAAGATACACAAATTAATTCTCTGCCTCACTAGAGGAAAACAAAATATTCTGGGATTCCCAAGGGGAAGAACCTCTTCAGACAGTTTTACCATATATGCTTATTCTGATGATGAACTTCCTGAATAGAACATATTTATGACGGTTCAGTAAAAGTCTGTGAAATCGGGGAGGCAAAGGCATCATTGGAAATTTTGTGGAAATTCACCTTCTGCAGGAAAGTTACATTTTTACAAAAGGCACAACACTGCTCAGGCAGCTGCATAAGAACATTGATCTCCTGGCCAAAACAGCATTTTGCAGCTTAAAATTTCCATTTCTGAAATTAAATGTGAAATACCAAATTATTTTTGCGAAATCAAAACCAAAAATGGTCATTTTGTATTGTACTGCTAATTCTGCCCCTTCTGAGGTGAAATTCCCCACTGTGCATATTCCCAGAGCTTCAGTGCAAAGGATAAGGGTAAAAGCTGGAAAAGAAGCATCAAAACTGTGAGATCTCTATCTCTCTGCTGTATCATAATAACATTTTTAAAAACTAAACCCACATCTTTGTTCTCTCTAACTGAAGACTAGCTCAGCTTTCCTTCCACGTACAGGTTTTTCCTGAAGGGTAAAAGCCATGTGCACATAAGCTCCTTGTGACAGTCAAACAATTGCTTTCCAGCCTCTATCCACAAGACTGAAACAAACGGGGAGCCTGACACTTTTTAAATTGGGGATGCAGCACTTTGTTACATAAGTAGAGATACTTAGGTTTTACCTCCAAGGGAGACTTTCTTTGCTTTTCATGTTCCCTGTCACACAGCTGATGGTCTCTAGTGTGCTGAGTGCTGGTGTGAATGGACTAGGAATACAGTCAGCCTTAAGATTGAAAGGTTTTAAGATTATATTAGCATGCAAAGAGAGGGAATGACAAGCCCCAGCTGCTCCCTGGAGCAGCCTGAGCCATTTCTCAGCAGGAGAGAGCAACCATTTCCTACATCTTAGTTCCCACCTGAAGGGCACATCTCTCAACTGAGGGCAGTTTATGGGATGTCCATGGGAAAGGCTTAATGGGGGGCAGGTGCAAATTCTGCAGTAATGAATATTTTGTGCTTGAGGATGCACAGTGTGTTGGGAACATCCCACCCTGCCCCTCGTGTCAGGTAACCCTTGGCCAGTCACACACCAGGTCGCTTCTGGAATCCCAGTTCCCCAGTCAGGAGCAATCTGCAGAAGGAAGCAGTGAATTGGGTTATTTGCTGTTCATTTACTAAGGTTTCTACGAACACAAAGACTGGCATTGATCTGGACCCTCCGAGAGCTGCCAGTGAGGACAGTGAAAGCTGTTTGTGTTGGAAGAGCACTGGCTGTCCCGTGACACTATGTGTGTTCCCATCTTCCTCATTTCTCTTCCTGGTTCCTATGGGAAAAGACAGGTATGAAGAAGGACATTCCTACCCCTTGCCACTGCTGAGTGACCT